AAATTATTTTTGAAATCAATATATCAAAATGATTTATAAAAAATAATTTTTAATAATTTTTTTTAAAATTTTAAGAAAATACAATTGCAATGGCTTTTTTCAAATAAATTCTTAATTTATGAAGAATAATAAAATAAAAATGCTGAAGATTGATAAAGTTTACATTAAAATTAAACACCTGTCTATAAACAAATCCATTCCATAAATCCCTATCAAGTCAGTCTAACTAATATCAATAGCTTTTGACTTTAGGGTGTAGAATTTACTTTATGCATATATTTCAAACCTAACTTAGAATTTAACGCGAGACAAGTGATAGGTTAATAATTAAATGGGTTAATTTTAATTATTTTTTCATTTTATAAAAAGTTAAAAATCACTTTATTTTAATAATACATTTTAAAAATAAAAAAAATCAACAGTTTGGAGCAATTTCTTTCTAGATTGATCAAGTAACTGTCAACTTAACTCTTTAATTTGACCACACCATGTTATTTTATTTTTTTTGTCGTTGAAAATCAAGCCCACCCCAGGCCTCGTAGCTCAGGTCTGCTTGTGGTAGGTTTGAAAATAGGGCTTTAGTGTCCAAAACAATAATTTTGTACCCATAGCTTCCGTCCCCACAAAACCAATCCCGCCCATCACCTTTATAGCTTTTGTTTTTGGGCAAAAATTGTGTTCTATGAAATTTTAATTTTTTTTACGTTATTTTTTTAATATTTTTAAATTGCTATTAAAAATAAATTTTAAAAATTACTCTTATCTAAAATTTTTATTTTTAATATTAACATATAAAAATAACAGTAAATTAATTAATTAAATACATTTTTAAATAAAAACTAATATAACTTGTAAAAACCAACCAACCCATATACCACCGAAAGCATCCAAAAAAATAACGGTAGGTTTGATCCACTTTCCTCTTCCATCACCTGTGACAAGACTCAGTAACCACTCCTTGGTGACGAGACTCGTAGTAACGCCCCCCTGGTCTCTGCCTTCCAACAGCCCACCGTCTCATCTCCCTGTCTCCAAAAGTTTAATGTCTAAAGAACCAGTGACCTTCTGATGTCGTGAACCCAAATGAAGAAACCAAAATCTTTAGAATCACAAACATCCATTGATTCAATCTTTGACCACTCCACTCCATCACTATAAATACCTTCGTTGCCATGACAACGTTAACAACAAAGCTAACATTAACCACAAATTATCCAAGAAAACCAAGAAACTTTCTTCACATTTTCATGGCTTCACTTCTCTCTTTCTCCCTCCTTTCTCTCTTCCTCTTCCTCTCCCTCTCCTCCTCCGCCACTTTAAAGATAAACCACCAACCCCCCACGAAACAAGAACAAAAACAAATATCAAAACCACCTTCATTTGCTACAACAACCCCACCTGGGATTCTCCAAGCTTGTAAAGCCACTAGATTACAGGACACTTGTGTCTCTTCTTTGTCTAACGCTAATGTCCCTCAAAATCCAACCCCACTTCAAATCATCCAATCAGCAATCTCTGTTTCCGACACTAACCTCAAAACTGCCCAATCAATGGTCAAGTCTATCCTAGAGTCGTCCGCAGGGAATATAGACCGCACAGCAGCCGCAAAAAACTGCATGGAGGTGTTAAACAATTCACAGTACCGTATAACAAGATCAGCGGGTGATGCTTTGCCACGTGGAAAGATCAAGGACGCTAGAGCTTGGATGAGTGCTGCGTTGTTGTACCAATACGATTGTTCCAACGCATTGAAGTACGCGAATGACACGTCTCTCACCAATCAGACGATGTCGTTTTTGGACACCTTGATGAGTTTCTCCAGTAATGCTCTGAGCATGATCGTCTCTTACGATGCTTATGGCAATGACACCAAGTCGTGGGGCCCACCAAAAACAGAACGGGACGGGGTTTGGGAACTCGGGTCTGGTGGGGATTTAGGTTCAGAGTTGAGGGGTGGGATTCCGTCCAATTTAACGCCGGATGTGACGGTATGTAAGAACGGTAGTGATAACGGGTGCTATAAAACGGTGCAGGAGGCGGTCAATACGGCACCGGATAATGAGTGGGGACGTAGGTACGTGATATCTATCAGGGAGGGGGTTTATGACGAGATTGTTAGAGTGCCGTTAGAGAAAAAGAATGTAGTGTTTTTAGGGGATGGGATGGGCAAAACAGTAATTACAGGGTCGTTATCTGCGGGCCAGCCTGGGATTTCCACCTACAACTCAGCGACAGTTGGTAAGTTTTTTTTTATAAAAAAACTCTTGTTATTTTAATTAAATTTTGTCCTTGATCTTTGCTTTTCTGGAAATGTTGAAGGTCGTGGTGGGCCCCTTGACTTAGCTGGATGCTGACTCCTCACGGCAAATGTGATGGCATTTGGATGCGATGACATATGGCATGCTGAGTCAGCATTCACTTGTAGTCAAGCACTCGGGAACACTTAATTTTTACCTGTTGTGAATTGGCTCGGGTGTAAAAAAAAAAGGAATTATGAAGCTATGAAGTGCACGGCCCATTTGTC